TATTTCACTTAGTATAATGTTCTCTAGGCTCATGCATATCGTTGCAAATAATAAGATTTCATTCTTCTTTATAGCTGAGTAATACTCCATTGTGTAAATGTACCACAGTTTCTAAATCCAGTCATCTACTGATGGGCATTTCGACTGTTTCCAAATCTTGGCTATTGTAAATAGCGCTGCAATGAACATAGGGGTGCATATATTTTTTCAAATTATTGTCTTGGGTTTCTCTGGATAAATACCTAAGAGTGGAATTGCTGGGTCATAAGGTAGTTCCATTTCCAGTTTTTTTGAGATACCTCCATACTGATTTCCATAGTGGCTGCACCAATCTGCAATCTCACCAACAGTGCACCAGGATTCCCTTTTCCCCACAACCTCACCAGCACTTGTTGTTTGTTGCCTTATTGATGATAGCCATTCTGACCAGGGTAAGGTGGTATCTCACTGTGGTTTTTATTTGCATTTCTCTAATGATTAGTGAGGTTGAACATTTTTTCATATGCCTGTTGACCATCCATATGTCCTCTTTAGAGAAATGTCTCTTCATATCCTCTGCTGATTTTTAATTGGGTTGTTTGTTTTTTTGGTGTTGAGTTGAGTTGCATGAGTATTTTATACATTTTGGATATTAACCCCCTATCAGATATATTGTTGACAAATATCTTCTCCCATTCAGTAGGCTTCCTTTTTCTTTTATTGATAGTTTCCTTTGTTGTGAAAAAACTTTTAAGTTTTATGTCATCCTATATGTTCATTTTTTCTTTTACTTCCCTTGCCCACAGGGATGTATCAGTAAAAATATTGCTCAGGGTAATGTCTGCAAATTTACTCCCTATGTTTTCTTCTAGGAGTTTTCTGGTTTCAGGTCTTACATTTAAGTTTTTAATCCATTTTGAATTTGTTCTTATGTATGGCATAAGGCGGTGGTCTAGTTTCAGTTTTTTCATGTGTCAGTCCAATTTTCCCAGCACCATTTATTAAGTAGACTATCTTTACCCCAATGTAAATTCTTGCTTCCATTATCATAGACTAACTGTCTGTAGATGCATGGATTTATTTCTGGGCTCTCTATTCTGTTCCATTGATCTATGTGCCTGTTTTTATGCCAGCACCATACTGTTTTGATTACTGTAGCCTTGTGGTATGTTTTGATGTCTGGTAACATGATTCCCCATGACTTTATTCTTATTTCTCAGGTTTGCCATAGGCACAGCAATCTTGACAAAGAAGAATGTATTCAATAGTTGAAGGTATCATGCTCTCTGATATAAAACTATACAACAAGACTATAGTAATCAAGATAGCATCATACTGCCATAAAAACAGACACAGTTCAATGGAACAAATTAGAGAGCCCAGAAATAAACCAACACCTATATGGTCAATGAATCTATGACAAAGGAAGCAAGAATATACAATGTGGTAAAGACAGTCCATTTAATAAATGGTGTTGGGAAAACTGCACAGATGCATCCAAAAAATGAAATGAGACTGCTTTCTTACACCATATACAAAACTAAACTCAAAATGGATTAAACACTTAAAACCATGGAACTCCTAGAAGGAAACATAGGCAGTAAACTCTTACATTTCTCTTAGTAATATTTTTTCTGATATATCTCCTCAGGCAAGGGAAACAAAAGAAAAAAATAAACAAATGCGACTATGTGAAACTAATGAGTTTTGCACAGTAAAGATAATCATCAACAAAATGAAAAAATCAGCCTACTAAATGGGAGAAAATATTCACCAATGATACATCTGATAAAGGGTTAATATCCAAAATTTATAAAGAACTCTTACAACTCAACACAAAAAACCAAACAATCCAATTAAAAAGTGGGCAGAGGACCTGAATAGATTTCACTAAAGAAAACATATACATAGCCAATAGAAATATGAAAAGATGTTCGAGATAACTAATCATCAGAGAAATGCTAATTAAAACCACAAAGAGATATAACCTCCCAGCTGTCAGAATGGCCATCATCAATAAATCAACAACAAAAATGTTGGTGAGGATGTGGAGAAAATATTACCCTTATGCACTGTTTTTGGGATTGCAAATTGGTGCAGCCACTATGGCACACAATTTGGAGGTTTCTCAAAAAATTTAAAATAGAAATAACATATGACCCAGCAATTCCACTTCTGGGTATTTATCTGAAGAAATCCAAAACACTAATTCAAAAATATATATGAATCCTTATGTTCATTGCAGCACTATTTACAATAGCCAAAAATATACAAGCCACTTAAGAGTCAATTTATAGATGACTGGATAAAGATGTGGTACATGTATACAATGGAATATTACTCGGCCATAAAAAATAATGAAATCTTACCATTTGCGACAACATGGCTGGACCTAGAGGGTATTATGCTAAGTGAACTAGGTCAGACGGAGAAAGACAAATACCATATGATCTCGTTTATACGTGGAATCTAAAGAACAGAATAAATGAACAAACTAAACAGAAACAAACTCATAGATACAGAGGACATTTTAATGGATGCTATATGGGAGGGAGCTTTGAGGGATGGGTCAGAAAGGGGAAGGGACTAAGAAGTACAAATTGGTAGTTACAAATTAGTCATGGGAATGTAAAGTAAAGCATAGAAAACATAGTCATTAGTATGGTAATAACTATGTGTATAGTGCAAAGTGGGTAATAGACTAGTCAGGAGGATCACTTCTTAAATTATATAAATGTCTAACCACAATGCTGTACACCTGAAATAAACATAAAATAATATTGAATGTCAAAATAAAAAATTTAAAAGTGTATGAAAAAAGAAAGTTGAAACAAAAAAGAAGTAGAAGCAGATAGAAATTTGGAAAATGTATGTACTCCCTGGCATCATTTTAAGGAGACACGTAAAATTTCTCATGATAACTTTAACTGTGAAAGTTATATAATCTTATGTATTAAATATTGATATTTAGAAATAAAACACATGTCTAAAAAATGAAGTAAAAATTGGTAATTACAAAATAGTCATGAGCATGTACAGTATAGCATAAGGAATATATCAATAATATTGTAATAGCCATATATGGTGATGCGGGGTCTCAGGGAATCACTAGAGTGGGAAGAGTTGTGGTCACTAGATTAATGTAGACTCTGGTTTTGTGGCAGTGCTGAGCCTGGGGCTACTCAGCGAAAGTCTCAGAGCACACTGAGGCTGGTCACTGTCCTCCTAGGTCCCATGGACTCCAATAGTGTTTCAAGAAAGAGTGCAATGTGGCAGGGGTTGGCTCCTCTCAAACAAAGTGCCTCAGGCAGTGCTAAAGTTGGGTGGGGTGGGGTCCTTGCTGAGTCAGCAGAGTGGAGCAGTAGAGCTCACCAGGCCAATCAGATTCAGATTTGGCCTGTGGGGATGGGCTCAACATAGGCGCCCACCTGGTGGCTGCATGGGAGAAGGACCCCTTACTGGGAAAATGCTGACTGTCCTCTGGTCCTTTCCCCAAAGCCACACACTTCAGTGTGCCCTCCATCTGCCTCTAAGGTCCCCTGAGTCACAGTCCCTCCACTGGAGCCCAAGGTGAGTACCTGTGAGCGTGGGAGTCTGTGCGCAGGCCATTTAAGAGAATGTCTGGATTTCCCACAACCTTCTGTCCCACCCAAATAGTTGGAATCCCTACTTCTTTTCACAGCCATGTTGTGGGCACCAGTACTCCGGGCTGGGGAGCCTGGTGTAGAGGGCTGGTGTCCCTCGCTCTTCCAGGGGGAAACTCCAAGGCTGAGATATCCCTCATGATTCTCAACTGCAACAGGGAGGTTTGGAGCCCATTCTGTGTCTCTGCCCCTCCTACCAGTCTCAATGTGGTTCTTCTTTAAATTTTTAATTGTAGGACTTCTGTTCAGCTATTCTTCAGATGTTTCTCCAGGTTGATTGTTCTATAACTTAGTTGTAATTTTAATGTGTTCATGGAAGGACGCAGGTACAGTGTTTATCTATTCTGTCATCTTGGATCTTGCAAAATAACTTTCTGATGCATGTGACATAGTGGGGGTACTTATAGTTGGGCAACATTTATAAGATAAATATACATTTGCCCAGGAGGAGGCTCTTATATAGCAGGTATTACCATAATGACCTTCAAGCAAAGACAAGTCAGAAGCTAGGAAATTGGAAGCTTAAGCAAGGTTACTGTAAGGAGGTTCAGTCTTGGACTTCTCAGATACTGTATGAATTTGGAAGTCCTGGGAATAGGTTAGTGTGGAAGCTGGAAACAATGGGATCTAAGATTGGGAATTTGTTAACCTCTGTTTATGCTTTTTGAATACAACACATGTATTTCCCAATTGTTCTCCTTTAACACACCAGAGAAAAACTGAGTTTTACAAAAGACTTTACTGAGTTTTAAAGAGTCAGAGCATACAAAGGGCATAGAGCACTTCTGGGGGCCAGGATGATTGTTGTAGTAATTCAAGCAAAAGATGCTTAAAGGAATGGTAAATTCAGGGTGTCAGCTTTAAGCCACTTGGTTAGCTACTCATCCCTGTTTGGAAATTCTCCTACTTGGTTTAAACCTTGGAATTTTTAGATTTGGTTTTATTGCATGAGGCATCTTTCCTCCTTTGGGAACTCTAGACTTGACCTCACCCATTCTGGGAGTCTGTTTCTCTTCCCATTACAGTCCTAACATAGTTTTCTATTTACCAAACCAGAAGGTAGAGACTTGACTTCCTAGTGTTCTCATGGGCAAACTATTTGTCTTCTTTGCTAACCAGGAAGCTTTACCAAGGTAGAGATATAAGGATTTGCTTTTATGTTATACATCCACTCCTACTTCAATATTACATGTTGAGCACATAGAAAAGTTTTCAATTAATGTTGACTTAACTTATGACAACTACTGAGGATCACAAATAACCGCTGATGAAATATCCACCCACCCCCAACCAGATCCTCTCATATAAGAAGAGCTTGGAAGTGCTTTAAACAAATATTTTTATTTAGTGTGTATGAATACATATATATTCTAATCTACTCCCACTTCCCATACTCCCACCCACTACAATATCCCCTACCCTACGGTCCCTCCCATCCCCAATCCAGAATCTAGAATCAAACATTACATGAGGGTACAGAGGAATAGGAACATTAGTAGAGCATATTTAAAGCAACAATAACAAGAAAATAAGTATTGCAGTTATCCTTGCTGGGAACCCAAAACAATGTCTATTGTCCTGTTGTAACAGGATAAGATTTCCCTCATTCCCCTTTGTCAGGATGTCCCATTGCAACTTGTCAGTATCTCTGAAGGGAACTTTATTTCCTGTGCCATTTAAACACCGCTGCTGCAGCTTGCATACAGAGAACGTGGCAAACTCAGTCTTCTTCCTTGGGAGTCTTCAGTCCCACACAGCCCACACCACCACTTGGTTTACACCATGTAGCTAGTGTAGGATTGAGTGTGCACAAACACCCAGGATATTTCTATCATTTCACTGAGCATGCTCACAAGGACAAATCAGTGGCAAATGTTGAAAAGCTGAAAGTCATTAAGGTATCATCAAGTTCAGATTCGAACCATGGGGGGCCAAGAGGCACTGCTCAGGCACATGTTGGAATAGAAAATAAACTTCACTAACTACCTTATAAAGTCTAAGGGATCATTTATTTTCTTTGTTTATGGGTTATTTTTATTTTATTTGCATTAAAATTTTTATTTCATTGAGTGTTTTTTTTATACTAAACTTTCATACTTGAGTTCCAAGTTACAGGTACAAAGGCCTTGACAAAATAATCTCTTGTCTAATGCAATAAAAAGGGTATTCAGTTTCCCAACTGTTAATGAAGGTTTTATACCACTTTGAATCAGTGTTTTGAGTGGGAAACCCTCTAGAGCAGCGGTTCTCAACCTTTCACAGGGGTTGCCTAAGACCATCGGAAAACACATATTTTCCGATGGTCTTAGGAACTGAGACACCGCTCCTCTATCCGTCTCCAGGCCCACATGCAGATACGCCCACATACGAGTACCCGGCGACCCCTGTGAAAGGGTCGTTCAACCCCCAAAGGGGTCGTGACCCATAGGTTGAGAACCGCTGCTCTAGAGCAAAGTTCTTGTGGGCCAGCTAGATCTGTATCTCTCTCCTGGATATCTTCTAAGATAGTTCTATAAAAATAGTTAAACCAAGGCAACTTTATTTCTAGTAAGACGTAATCTCTCTCTGTCTCTGTCTCTGTCTCTGTCTCTGTCTCTCTCTCTCTCTCTCTCTCTCACACACACACACACACACACACACACACATTAGCTAGATTCACTCCTGATGAAATACCTAGTAAAATCTGTAAATTGTAAATGTTGTTACTACATTTCAACTACCCTGGTTAACATAAATCTATTTACATAAATCTAAATGTGGGCACTTCCTTCAGAATATGTACCTATTATGTTAAGAAACTTACTTCAAGCTAAAATCTATACTTTTTCCTTGGTACCCACTTTGGGCATCCTGATAAGGCTATTTCAACTTCAGCATCAAGTTTTCCCTAGGATACAAAAAGGCTCCTGTCCAAGCTGCAGAGCAACAACAGTTGATCCAGTGCTTTGCAGTTTTCAGAGTATATCCCCATTCACCTGCATATTTACAAATAAAATCTGCAATCTTAACCAGACCCCTTGGTAGTCTTTAGTTTTTCAATGTGGGGGAATACATTGACAACAAACACATTGAAAAACACTGAAAGGTCTTACTTTGAGAATCACAAAGTCATCATAACATATAAGATAGTTATATTATTGTTACAAAGGAAGGGAGTTTGAACTAGACACAGAAAACTCTCTGAACAAGAGTTATCAGAATAAACAACTTCATCCCCACTCTCAAACTGTCCAGACTGGGTCCATCTCCTTTCATTTCTTACATGGCCCCAAGGACAACAGTGTTCATCAATGAGGCTTTGCCTCATAGTTTAGAAATGTTGACAGCCTTCAGCAATGGCAAAGTAGCAAGCAGATGGTCCTCATTTGTAATTATGGTTCCAGGTAGTCACTTGCTGATATTAAGGCATGAACCTTTCCTGGAGCAAAGCTACCTATTAAACCAGGTCATGGAGAAGTGAACACCCAAGCTTAAAAAAATTCCTCAAAATGTAGGGAAAGGAATTTTAGCCTTCTGTTGTCCTTCTTACATTCTTTGTGCTAACAAGGGACTGAGCCCAAAAGTCTCAATGTCTTGATGAATTCTCAGGTGTAATATAAAATTACGATTTTATATGTAATGTTTAAAATAAAATGGCATTTTAAAAAAAAGTCCTTTTCTGGCATGAATCAACAAGATTTTTTTATGTTAAGGGTTTCTTGAAGCTGTGTGTGTATCATTTTGTGTTTGTGTATATGTTTATGTTCTTCTGTGTGTGTGTAATTATCTCTGCATGAATTGTTTATGCTCATGTGCATTCAAGTTGCTACTCCTTTGAAGGTTTGTTTTTAAGATTAAGTGGATTTTCTTTACAATAATAAATATACAATTGGTATTGTTATACCCATTTGCTAGTAAGACACTGGCCATGTTACAATGCCAGAGAAGTGAGTGATACACATATTTTAATAAATTATGGTCAGCATCTGCAACAATGTACAAAATAGTCATCTAATCACCCCAAGAAATGATGATTGTTTTGAAAAAATCACAGAGTTCATTCATTCAAACAGATAATTGACTGAAATAATGACTAAAAATAAAATTTAGATTTGAAATATGCATTATGAAAAGACCTGGTTATGTTTGTTTTAAAATACAGTAAATCTGTGTGTGCATTTTTCTGTATGTGTGTAAGTTTGTATATGTGGGGGGTGTTTATGTGTGTTCACACATGTGTGGATGTGTGTGTGTGTTTGCATATTTGTGTGAGTATGTATGCATGTGTGTGTGTGTTTGTGTGTGTGTGAGAGATAGATAGATAGATAGATAGATAGAGAGAGAGCATACAAAGATACCTTAACTACAGGAGGGGAGGGAATTCTCAATGAAAGAGGCCTTCAGCTCAACACCTAGGAGTGAATCTACATTACACATATACAAGTGAGTAACATATAAGATTGATTACTAGCATCCCAGATATATGTGTCAGGGGATAAATACCCCTAATCCAACCTGTCCCAATGAGGCATGACATTGGACCAGCTGCATTTAGATTTTACTCTCATCAAATCATTTTTTAAAATGTCCTGGGTTGGACCAAGATACAGTTTGTTGGCATTGGACAAAGGCTGGCATATGCATTTGCATGTGTGAAAGGGGAGAATTTGGCAACTTCTCCCATCCACCACTTTTGTAACTCTCTTTGTTCAAATATACATTTCAAAAATGGTGTCTTTCTGACAAGAAGGTGACTGCTAACACACTACCAGTAGGTAATACACTTTAAACTGTTTCTCCAGAAGTGAAAATGAATTTTGCAAGGCTATTCAAAGAACAGTTTTGTTAGGTCTTCCAGATGGCTGATAACCCATGTTCAGAAAAAGGCTGGCCAGGGTGAGTGGTGCAGTCTGTGTAAACAGACACACATGGGGTTTTGAACCTGTGTGCCCATAGTTCTTTAGCACCACACTCAAACTCACAGAGCTAAATGGCTGCACATGGATTAGAGCCTAAGACCTAGAGCTCATTAGCACCATGTTCCAACCAAATTAGTGCCCCCAGCCAGAAACTACTTACAATGGTAGCACCCTCAGACTTAATTGGGTGCTGAGTTAAAAATAGTTGCTGCTGAAAAAAAATCTAAGCAATACCCACAAAAAACTGAAACTACCAAGAGGCCCGCTTCTTCAACATCTTGTGTATCAGCAAAGCTGCTGGGTAGACAAACGTCTGTGAGTATGAAGTGGAGGAAGCAGCAGACATTGAAGCTGGATCATCTGTCAAGCATGGAACATTCCAGTTCTCCAGCCTTACTGGGGGGCGGGGATGTGGTCTGATTCTTTGGAGGACAAAGGTGAGAGTAGGGAGGGGGTTTTCCTGGGAATGAGAGAACATTAGGTGAACATACTATAGCACAATAGTCATTTAAATTACAATGATAGCCCTTTTATCTGAATTTCTCTTAATTCTAAGCAGGTAAAAGAGCATATCAGAGCAAGGTATAATTCCTCCAAGAAACACTGGGTACCTAGGGGCAATTCCATTCTGCCCTCTGCTTATGGGGAGGCAAAGTACTAGACAGTCATTCTGATTGTCCTGCGATGTATCCATCCTGCCAAAAGGAAAATGAGAAGGACAGCTGTCTGTCAGTTAGTTCAAAAAAATGATAAGGGTTTACATAAGGAGGGAGAAAAAGATATCAGCCGAGCTCACCAGTCACAAAGACTACAATCTCAAAAACAGCTGAAGCTGAAAGGTGATGATAGGTGGATGTGCAATTTACAGTGGTGGCACCAGCAGATGTTGTCATCTAGTTAGTCCAGGACTTCTCTAAATATTTAGTCTTATACTTGTATGAATATAGTTTTTTTTTAACTTTTGGTGGTGAGTGTAGGAAGGGAGGGGAGATAAAGGCTTCATTCATGAAAGTGAAAATAGAAAGAAACAGAGCTTAAACTATAGCTCTTTCTCCTCAAATTCTTCTTGATCTAAAAAAAGGGATGCAATACTCTAGCAAGTATGGAAAATTTCCATAGATACCTGGACTTCAAAAAAAATCCACATTTTGCTGTCACCAAGTGGGATGAGACAAGCCAGAAGCTAAACTCCAGTTAATCTGCTTTATGCCTCTGGCTTGCCCTTTTCCTGAGGAAACGCAAGGATGCAAAGGACTTTGAAAACATCCTGTTAAAAAGAAAATGATTAAGATAGGAGAAGCAAGAGAAATTCATTGAGGAGAAATAGATAGAAGCAGAAGCACACATACACTCTCACAAGATTATGATAACCTGTTTTTAAAACTGCTTAAAGCCAGTGGGGTACAGGAGTCACTATGAAGTTCACAGCAAATGCAGCAACAAAAGTATGAAGCCAGTTATCTGGGCCTGGGACTTTCAAGAGAATCTCCAGAGTTATACTGTGGTGATAAAAGTCTGTTGTTGTTGTTGTTGCTGCTGTTGTTTTGAAGTTATGTTGCTTCTGTGGGGGTATGACTATGAGAAAGGGAGAGGGAGGGGGAAATGAGCAATAGCTAAAATGCTACAGAATAGAAAGAGTTAAAACAAACAAACACATGAGTGGCTATAGAAGAAACATTCCTGAACTGGGTACAATTTCTCCAAAGAAAACTGGGTCATGATCTTGAGGGTCACTGCATGGTACTCACTTCCCAGCAGACACAGGGCGTATGGCCTAAGTTTGGACAATTTCCTCCACAATCCTGGGATGAGTCAGTCACCCTATCCTCCAGGAGGACATAATGGGCAGTCACATTCTGATAGTTAGAATTGTATGAGAAAGAGAACTATAGAAGAGAAAAATGTAATCAGTAGCCAGCACTCAATACAGAGGCCTATGGAGCAGTGCAGAGACTGCAAAATTTATATCCACAGGCTGCAGCTCAGGAGCTTCCAAGATCCCCAGGCTTCCACTGGATGAGAGAAGTGTGAATTCTGAAGAGAAGAGAGGAATATGGGAGGGAATTGATGAACAATAGCTAAAATACAATGGAAAAGCAATAGTTTACACTACACATCAGAGTTCAAAGAAATAAAGGATGGACAGATAGATAATGGAGGAGGAAAGAAGAAAGAAGGAAGAAATAGAGACAGAGTGGTGCTAAAGAAGAAAGAGACTTGGGAGAAATGAGGAAGCTGGATAAAGAAGAGGAGGGGCAATGAGTGGGACAAGGAGAGGTAAAGAGGAGAAAAGGGAAGATAATTGGGGGAAGGTGAAAGGAGTGAAGGGGAGGGGAGGAAAAGGATAAGAAGAAGTAGAGAGGAGGTGGGAAGAAAGGATGGAGGGGAACAAAGGTGACATGAAAAGAGGATGAGAGGAAGTGAGGAATTTGTAGGAGGAGGAAGAGGAAGAGGAAGGGGAAGAGAATGGTGGTACAGAGAAAGTAGAGGAGGAGAAGGTGAAGGGGGAAAGAGAGAGATGGGAAGAGAGGGAAAGAAGGGGAGCAAGGAGGAGATGAAAAGGGGTAAAGAGAGGGTGTGAGGAAGGGAACCAAGAGAAGGAGGGGAGGAAGCTGAGGAGGAAGAGAAAAAAATCCTACCTCATCTTGGCATCATCTTGACACACACAAGCTATACCCTTCAATGTGCCTTAATAACATTGTCTCCTCATGAAAGGCAATAGCAGGAGAAAGATGAGATCATTACTTCCTCCTCATCTCTCCTGCTGAATTGAAATCCTCATAGACTAGAGAACTGGAAACAATTAAATTAACAGTGAACACATTACACGTTCTCTTTTTTCCAGAAAAAGAAAGGCGAAACTAGATAGTGCAAGTTTACATAAGACAAAGTATTATGTTAAATGTAGGGTCAAGAAACAGGGAGAATTTTTTGATTTTGCAGCGTTAACTTGGGCACTTAAATTGTCACCATATTTAAAGGGAAGTTGTCATCAAAGTGTATTTGCAATCTGGAAAAATATCCCAGGTGATGTGGGTTGAGCCATTTAACTGCCTTGTCTTTTCCTGTAAGATAGCTCATTCTCATTCTGCCATAAGGAGATAAGATATGACTACTTGCATTTATAGGAAGCTCTAAGTTCCCAGAGAACCCGATTAAGTTTCAGGAACTATACATTTCTTTTCTGGCATTTCCTGGAAAAGTATTGGACATGATATGGACATTGACCTCTTGTCCATCTAAATAAAATACAAATAAGAATCTCTGGTGGCTCTTGCAGCTCCTGAGACAATGACTATGATGTCAGAAGACAAGTGTCATGGCCAGGTGGACACACAAAGAATGGTGAGGGGAACAGTCTCCAGAATCAGAGATGAAACACAGGAGACTCCAAGCCAGAGTGCAACTTTCCTTTGAGTGATGTAGAAACATCTCTGATGAACCTGGAAATCTAATATCTTCAGTTTACTCACTATTGGGAGAAAGAAAACAAGTAGGAATAGGGAACATAAGAAAAGACAGACAGAAGGAAATGAAAGAGCAAGTGAGACATGGTGGCTCACATAGCCCCCATTCCTCAAGTTCCAACCCCTCCCTCCACTCCCCCCACCATGAAAAATGAATGAAACCTAATTATTTTGGTCCCACCCTATATCAGAGATTTTGAGGATGGATAATCTATCGCGGTCTGGGCAGCTTAAACTCTAGGCACTGGTGGGTAGAGAAAGGAGGTTTCCACCTCTGGGGATGGAGGGGGACTGGGTAGCTCATCGAAATCTTTGAATCGTGGGAATTTGGGCACTCCAGCATTGGGATCCACCCAAGCAGGGTGGTGAGTGGGTGAGACAGAGCTCAGCTGGCGGTGCTCCCTTCTCAGGCGGCTGATTCCATCTAGCAGCATCTTCTGGATTTCCATGATGACTTTCTGAACTTCAATCTGGAAGCTATCACTGAGCCAGCAATAGATGTAAGGATTATAGCATGAGCTGCTAATTGCCAGCCAGTGGAGGAAGAAGTAGAGACCATTGTGGCTTGAGATGGATTCACTGGATAGCAGCACCAGGTAGAGGTTGAGAGGAAGCCAGCAGATAGTATAGACAAGCACCACCATCATCAGCATCTTCAGGGTTTGCTTCTTCTTCCCACGCTGACAGATGTAGGTGTGAATGTTGATATCATCAACAGCATTATGGATCCACAGCTTCTTGGCAACATGACCGTAAACGACCATCAGCACCATCAAAGGCAAGATGAAGAAGAGCAAAAAGGTGCTCAGGTCAAGGTATTTCCATGTGGATTTTGAAGTATATGAGAAACTGGGGACACAGATAGTTTCATCAGTTCTGTTTCTAGGTTATAAGGGAGACAGAAAAGAGAAATATTAACTTAATTTTCCTTTTCCCTGAGACTCACATCCAGGTATCATATAGCAGTTAGGCCTTAAGGAAGAGACATATTTACTATTTGTGTCTGTGTTAGGCCTGAAGATTAGAGTTATAAAGCAGGGAGCTTCAGGGTTCACCTATTCCAGAACTTTAATGTGACATATGGAGAAACAATAGCCTTCAAACAGAAAGTAATATGTTTAACAACCCCCTGCCATGAGAGTTCTTGGGTACTTTTAATAAGTTTCAGTTTAGAGAAATTTATTTTTGTACCCATGTTTTGAAATTCCAGCCCCTATCCCATTCTTATTATTCCATGAGACTTCAAAGGTCTCAGGTTGCTGGAATCCAAACACTGGCCATCCTGTGTTCCTCTTACCCAATCTCCACTTGGTAAAGCTTTTGGTAAATGGCGTGTGGCAAAGCGGCACAGGTGCTCACAATCCAGATGACAATGATGCAAACATTGCCTTGCATTGGAGTAATTCGGGACTTCAGAGGATATAGCATCACCTGGAAGAAAAGGACCCCAGCCCAATTCAATAAATCAAATTAGGGTTAATTATTAGTCATTCATCAACTGACATTATTTTCAAAGGTGTAAAGATTTGGTAGGTGCGTGAGTAATGTGCTTTGGGTACTAGTTCAGTTGACAGATGAATGGCATTTTGTTTTATGAAAGAGCAAAGTTGGTTAGTGTAGAGAGAAACATTTCAACGGGAAGATGGGAATCCAAGCGGACTGATTTCAAAAGTTTCTGTCTCTGAATAAGGAGTTCAGTGGAAAAGAGGATGCATGTCCAAAAGTGTGACTTATTTTTTCTTTATCATATATGGCTGGATAAGCACTCTACATCCCTCCATCTTTTCTCCCACTTGGTTCCCTTCATGCCCTTTTCCCTTCTCCCTTCTCCCTACATCCCCTCCCATCTTGATCCCTCCATGGTCACTATTTCCTTCCTCCCTCCCTTCTCCTTCCTTCCCTTCTTCCATCTCATCTCCCATCTTCCTCTATCTCTTATTACCTAGATTTCTCCATGGCCCTTTCCATCTGGTTCCAGCCACAGCCCCTTCAAATCTTCATCTATATCCCTCCCATCTCACTTGCTTTCTGGTTCCCTCCCAACTAATTAACAATGTAACCCCTCCCAGGTTTTCACCCTCTGCCCCACCTCCTTCCATTTAAGTCACTTCCATCCCTCCTCCCAACTCCTTCCTCAAGTCTCTCCATGCCTTCCCACTTCATTTGCTCAGCTGTCACTCACAGACTTTAAGCCCACCTCCCAGACTCAACCCACCACAGCTCTGAAGCCACACCCTCCTCTGACTCATCTTTCCCTCTTTATTCCCTTAGCTGATCCTGCAACGCAGCAAATAAAAAATGTTTTCCAAAGGAGAGGGAGGACACTTTTTATCATCTGCTTATTGCCGCATTTGTTTCCATAGTACCATATCAAAGATGATGGTAATTTTATTACATAAGATTTGATATGGTGAAGGTCTGTATTTCACCATTTTGCAATTAGGCATATATAGTCACATACATTCTCTCAAGGAACTCAAATAACATTTTAGATTGTGTTCTTGGCTGCTTCCATCTATCTAGAATAGGAACCTACCCCTTTGCAAGACCCGAAGAGCCCTGGGAAACACATACCCGATGTAGGTCCAGAGATATAGCAGCCATGGTCATCACAGTTACATAGGCACAAGAGTACTGAGCAAAATGACTGAGGTGGCATGTCATCTTCCCAAACACCAAGGAATTACACAAATAGCGCACCTGTGGAAGAAAGGGCATGGTGAGGCACAAGGACTCAGCCCTGGGTTTTCCCCTCTTACAAGCTCAAAAACATAAGTAGAAGCAGTGCTTCACCAAACTGCTAACATTATTGTCTCAAGAAGCAAAGAAACATTTTCACCTTGCATTTCTCATGCCCTTCCTATCTTTCCCCACACAAACAGCCCAGCTTGAAGACACAGACCCCAAATCACAAAAACTGTTAGCCACTTTTCATTCTAAACACTGCGTTTAAAAGATGGGGGAACTGAAGCTAGGTCTTTATGACAAAGCTCACATGTCAGTCTAAAGCTCACCTGCAACAGGTCCCTGATGCCTCCCTGGGCAACCTAAGTCTCAGCTTCTGCCAAGGCGGAAGATTAATTCAGCAACACAAACACAATCGTGCCCGTACCCCCACCCCCAAGTTCTAAAACCGTTTACACCATCTTTCAGCCATTCCTGTCTCTGCGCACTTTCCAAATCAACCCAACCTGATTCAGCGCTCCTTCCCACTGCCAGCTCTCTCTGTTGCAAGTGCACGGTTGTGTTACTGATCTCATGGCCTGAGCCCCAAATCCCCCTCCTCAGCGCCCAGCTTACCATGGTGAAGGGAGAGCTGAGAAAAGCCAGCATCATGTTGGTCACGGAGATGTTGACGACAAAGAGGCCGGTGGCAGTGTGCACCCTCTTGTACTTCATAATCACATGGTTTAATACCCAATTGCCTAGTATGGCAGCAAATACCACTACGGTGTACCCTATTACTAGCCAGAACTGTACCCGCTCATCCTGGGACACCATATCCGAAGCCATGGGACCTGACGTGTCAGCCAGGTTGCCCATGTTGGAGATATGCTCAGGCAGCTTATGGATCATGGAGAGCACACTACCGCGGCCTGAGCTACCAACCGCGGACGCGGCATTAGAAATAGCCTGCAGCACCTGGGAGGCGGAGGAGGTGATCAGGTCATCAAACCCGCTCGGCACGCTCAGAGCTTCGGGGGTGAGCTCGTCCCCATAGCCCATGGTGTTGGGATTCGGTAAAGCCCCTTGGGGCGATTCTGTTGTCACGGCGTCCAGCTTGACGTCTGTGGAGAAACTCAAGGTCCCTAAACTACCGGGCCAGGAAGCGCAGGGGGAAGAGAGAGGGAGGGGTGGGGGGGGTCTTCACTGAGCGCTAGGCGACCGCTGCTCAGCGTCCTGAAGCTCTGAGCAGAGAATGCACTCTCTCAGGTATGGGGGCAGAGGGTGG